CAGCAGGCACAGGCCTGTTGCTCATCCCTTTCATATTCAGGTAGATAACTTATTGAGTGGCCCTCGTATATTCTTGTCCAACATCACCGCACGCCATTTGGAAAAAAAAATTGCATGTTTTTAGAGAAAATGAACGCTTCATCATTATTACCTGAGCAATTTCAAAAGTATTGATTCGATGTTAATTGAAGTCATGGCTTTGGAAAAGGTAATTGAATTGGATATTGTGAGATTGAGTCATGATGTCAGAATGACTTGTAATAATCGCTCATCACGGATTTCCAGGAGGATGCTGAGCTTGCTACGAATGCTCAGCTTTGAAAATGGACAAGGGGTATATGGGATATTTCACAAGATGGGAACAGGACAAGGGCATTTGCTTTGCTATTTTTATACTTTTTATATTTGTATATTTCATATGTTCCAGTTGTATAGTTTTCGGTGTAATTATTGTCAAAGCTTCGCAACGGTACGTACAATTTAAAAAGTGTTTCATAATTGTTTCCGTAGTTGTAACCTGTGAAGAACATAGTTGAGAATTCGTACTCAGTTGTAGATGACTCAACGTCAGGGGGACCAAACGCTCTCCCACGACTTGGATCGTCCGGAAGTAAGTTTTTGTCCAGTTGAAATAAGAAAAAGCCTCTCTTCCCGAAGCTGATCATGAACTACTGGAGAGCTTAATGTCGTTTTGTTTCATATTGTTGTCGTACGAAATTATCTCTGGAAATCCATTTTTTTACGAAGTTCACTTGTGACAGAAATGGGAATGATAAATATTAACGAAGGATTGATAATGCCGGCATTTGGCAACCAACGACTCAGATCGAAGAAATTAGAACTAATTTAGGGAGCCATCATTTCTTGCTGTATTTGATTCCGAATCGTTCATTGTTTCAATGATGCACTAATAGACTTCCAGAAGTGAACATGAGAAAATGCAACAAATCTTGAACGCAATAGCGGAACCTTTTTATACCTTACAAGATATTCAAAGGGAAATAGTGGTCCAATTGGAATCATGCATAATTCAGACTTGATGGACACTTTCATAGTGACTACTTATTGGAGATTACGGTAACAGTTTTTTAAAAGCACTCTTTTGTCATATAAGCTCCTATTAAGATGAGTATGAATTATCAGCCCTTTCCGTTCCAGACGTTTGCCTGATAAGTAGTCGGGGGTATGTGCATGACAAATGGTGTCAATCCCGGATGTTCGGGCATCGAGTCCAATCCGTTCATATGTGCTCGACCTGCCATTTTGTAGCGACAGAATTTCTGATGGAAAAATTGGAGAGCAATAAAGAATGGTTTCACATTGCTGACTCATATTTCCTCATTCCATGATTTCGACTCAGTCCAGTCTATGGATGAAAACATAGATTTCACCTGAGTTGGAAATCCATCATATCACTAGAATTTTTCTTTGCTATATGTGAAGCGATATCCTGGAAATGCATGGTGTTGGACGTTAAACAACTAATGGTACTTCCCAAAATTGGGAAATTTATATATTTTTCTGTGAAGGTAGGAAATATGCGCAATCACTTTAGGAAGCAGCAACAAATGCAATATCTATTTTCTTCTGGAAAACGCGGGTCTGCAGGAAGCCGTGAAAATGCTAGTCTCTGAAAGAAATAAGATTGACTGAAGTTGCTAAGTAAAAATTGAATGAGTCCAAATGCTAACAAGCCCTTCATGGACAGCTGTGCAGTTGAGAGAGCAATAATATAATTGGAAACCGCCCATGGGGTTTCTCCGTCTATCCTCTAGATGGTCGAGCGCACTGCCTGGTTGAACTAATATGGAATGACCCCTTTGTGGACTGTTCAAACGAGAGTAAGGGACAAATACTAGCGATGAGTTTCATTTCAGTATTCTGGATCCATAAGTCAACGTTAACGAGATTTCCCAGAAATTCAGCATCTGAATAGCTCCATGAGTCCTGATAATGTGCGGAATAAAATATATCAAATATAATAATTGTCACTCTGCGTCGATTGGGTTTCTGGCCAGTGCCTGCGTTGCCACCGAGAGGGCTCCATTTCGTCGTCGCTGACATCCGTGGTGTCCTCGGACCTGCAGGTGTCATCGTGAGGTGTCACATCCTCGCCGTCGACCTCTTCGGAGTTGGAGAGGCGGTGCACGAGGAAGATAGAAAGAAGGAGGAAGACGAGCGCGACCAGGGACAAGCCAACGATCATAGGGATGTTGAAAACAAAGGCAGGGTTCTGTCCTTGGATCCCATGGGCGTTCATTCCGGCACTGTTGATTGACAGATCGACGAAGCCGAAGGGGGGCTGCTGGGAATTCGTATTCACTAGCTCTTGTATCCTCGGCACTGGGCGAATAAAAAAAAACTCACATCCAAATTTACTAATAACATTAACAATTGAAAAAGTACCAGCATAAAATTCAATGCTTCCGATTTCAAAAAAATCAGCCATAAAAATGAAGAATATTGGCCTAGCACTATTGTTGTCTTAATAAAGTTATTTAAATATATAAACTAAAGGAACAGGTAGTCAAATTCGTTCTCTCGTTAGAATATTGTTTTTATTCTTTAAGCTGGAAGAGACAATTTCTACCTCAGCAGTCGCTTTTAGAGCTAATGCTAAACTTGATACGTCATAAAAGGAGATATCAAAGCAGTCGGGAAAGCTCGGCGAAATCGATTCATCAATTTTTTAAATAGAAAAAATATTATTTACTTAGGTAAGTAGCACCGGAACGTTGAATGAATGTTCAAAGAACGTTTCATGTGTTGCCTACGCTCCATGGACATCCTCCGAAACATTCCTTGAATGTTCAATTGTCTGAAATTGAGAGCGATCCCAAACATTTCTAATTATGAATTCATCCAGGGCCTAAATTAAACATTCCCAAAAACCATCAAAGGATCTATTTCGTTCCAAGTAAACTCTGCTCCTGTGATTGGGGTCGCAGGCGATCGCATGCCCAACTATTGTAATCGGAAGTACAACTGTTTCTCATTTGGGAATGATAGTATCCCTATCTTAGAGTGCGAGCGAGAATCCTTCTTGAAGCATAGATACCCCTCCGATAAGTGTCTCAGATGAGGAGTTCCTCCTCTGCGCCAGAAATGCGTGAGGGAGAAAGAGGTAGAGAACGGAAAATCGTTATTTCTCTCCATAGCAGAAATTAATTATTTTGGTACCGCTCTGTCGCTTTTTTCAGCCCTTCCAAAAGTGCTGTGGGCATATTTTTGACATTTAACAATAATAACCCAACCCACGTGATGGAAGAAACCTCATGAAAACCGTGGCCGAAAAATCAGGCACAAATTACTCTCCGCGCGCTCCTTTGTTGAGGAGCGATGATTTATACGAGGGATTTCTCAAAAGTTCTGCCAGTAGCCCACAAGTCGTCATCGGAGGCGGCCGCAAAGTGGTACTTTGGGGCTACCGGCAGAACTTTTGAGAAAAACTTGTATTATCTTTCTTTAAGGGATCCTTCTCAAATCCTTATGAAGTGAACTTTCAAATTGAACCGTCTTTTCTTCCTTCCTAGTGGCCAGAGTTTCATGCTGATTCCTTGGACAGGGATACCTTTTCAGACCGATATGTTAAAGAATTTGAATGCCTTCCCATGTGATGTATTTGTAGGGGATCGGGAACCTCAAAGGAAAGTATTGCAGGCTAATTTCAGTTGTATGAACTACTGACTTGCAATAGCGAGAAAGTCGGCGTCATCTAGCGTCGCTTATGTGAACCTACGTTTGTTTCCCGCCAGTATCAGATGGAGAGCACAGTTGTGCTGAAAGAGCGCGCCACTTTTACGTTCAAGGAACGTTCTTCAAGAACATGATGCATTGGTGATCAAACAGCACCTTAATTGAGCGTCCAAGACCTACTCGTCCCTGAAGCTTGATCTTTAAAGAACCTCTTTGAGCCGGGCTTGAAAGTCCTCTTCAACGTTCATGTGTTACTTAGTACTTAGGTATTGCACTACTATCATGAAAATCATGAAGACGATGAGCTCTTTTATAGTTTATGTTACCACTTTGTCCTATTACTCGTAAAACGGCAAAACCCTCTTGTTTTCCTCCTCTTGTATTCATTTAAGTTAGTCTAATGAGAAAATTAGACACATTCAATATAGAGATTCCCTCTTCAATTTAAAGAGGTAGAGGGAAAATGATTTTTCGTATTGTCCACTGAAAAGGAGATACCATATAAGTGAAACATCTCTTTCATCACTCACCAACATTGCAATCCTCAACCATCTTATGCGTCCAATTCCCCGCGAAGCAGTCATCGGCCGCACATTCGCACCAACACAGGGATTTGTCGCTTTGCTGCACGAGGAAGCAGCGACTTTGGTTGGGGTTCAAATCCTCAGCCCCGTAGAGGCAGTCTCGCTTTACCAAGGTCCCGTTCCGTTCATAGACGGCGAGGCAGTTGCTGTTGCTGGAGTTCCGTAGGCAATACAGATCCAGCTGGTCCGGCCAACAGTGCAATGCCTGAAGGTAGAATCTCTTGCATTGCTCGGGGACTTTGCTTTCGGCATTACAGGACCAACCTCTACACCGGCAACGGCAGTGTTTCTGGGAGCCAACCGAGTCCTTCGGAAATACCACACATAACAGTTATTTTTGTCCTTTGTCTTTCCCGCATCCCCAAATGATTAAATTCTCTATACGCACACAAATAGTGTTTTAGCGATTCGAAACGTCGTTTTTAGTTACAGTGTCAAATATTGGGAATTAAAAAATATGTTCCACAAAGCTACTTCAAATTCTGCAGAATTGCCCCCAAGCATATGTTAGCAAAACTAAAAAAAAAGTTTACTTTCTACAAAATGAGGCATAAATAGAAACCCGTCACTAGACCTGCCAGCATGTGATGCCTTCNACAATACACATTAGCTAGAATTTAAAATATTTGTTGAACAGGGCGCATATGACAGACAAGTGTAATTATTATTATTATTTAGCGAATGGAAATCAAGAGTGCGTTTCCAACGGAAAACAAACAATTGGTAAACAAATACATCGGAATTATTTCAGGGGCTTAGCGATGGAGCCCATGTAATTGATGGCATGCCATTCATGAATTCAGCATCATGTAGCAATGCAAATTAGTGACTGAAAGTTTTGAGGAACGTAGTATGCCATTTCTAAGTTTCATGAGTATTTTTCGACAACTTGAACAACATTTATTTGACAGTTTTGCAGATAGAAGTTCAGTTAAATTTCTCTTCATGCTAAAGCCCAAATGCATATCCTAAAGCTCATGTCTAATGCAGAGTAACTTCGGCACGATTGACTCTCCTTTGTAATTAGACTGGGAGGAAGTTGCAGTACGAGAGATAGGGAGGAAGCATGCAAGTTGGAGCATCGGAGAAACCCGAATGATTCCCATCATTTGAGTGCTTATGCATTTGCTTCAGCTGATACTGGCCCTTAACGTTTGACGGGCACTTAACGAATTAATATGTAAAAATTCATTTTTGTGCTACCAAATTGTATTGGTACATACGTATCCGAAAAGAGTAGAGAATGGGACATGAGCTGAGGCTCACATGCAACATCTCCCACCTTGGCCAGCTACCACAACAATCCCCAACTCCTTCATTGTATTTCAAGAAGAATACTGCAAATCTGGTCGCTATTATATTTCCTTTTCCCACAGGTTTGGAGATGGCATTAGTCCTATGCCTTTTATAGGACGGAAGCAATTGAACACCCTACAGTTATGAAACTCTTGCATTAGGAGATATTGACCACCAAAGTACCGTAATCCACAGTGAGATTGTGACTGTTTTGGGGGACTATGCTAATTCCTGTACTACAGTGAGAAGTTGGGTTGCTGAAATCGAATATGGCAGGTGAAAATCATATGAAGCATGTGACAGCATCTGCAGGAACGGATTCTAACTCATGCAGTTTAAAAAGCTGCTTCATGAGCATCATTTATGACTGCATGAGCTGTAGGCATAACTGTTCACAATAGGAACAGTCACCGTTCGAAAATATACTAATTCTCCATAAAGAGAGTCATGGAGATGTCGATTGTGTTGGGTGGAGCGCACAAGATAGGTGGGTATAACCATTTTTTTAAAACAAAATGGCAATCAGGAGCCAGGGCATTTCCAGGGAAGACCGAATATTATATGCATTAAAGAATAGAACCTTTGGGGATAAATCAATTGAGCCCGCATTTCGGATCTGATGCTAGTAATGGACACTGCCTCATTCAGCAGTGGAGAAAAGTGTTTATGGTAATTGTAGAAGTCGTTACACGTATACTCCTAAATCCAAAATGTATTAGGAATTTTATGGCAAATCGTTATCTATTACTTACCGGTCTACTTCGGGGGAACAAATGCCTCGCACGCCGCGAAAAAAGAACTTACGCATCACAGGAAAACTGATTGGCCTCGACCTATTGAAAATTGTTTCGTCACGCTTGACTCTCCTCCCTCGTAGAGATAAAGAGGAAGCATAGGAGCATTGCAATGCAGGCTTCGAAGTGTTATAATTTTTTTGCTAGCGCACATGCATAAGCTCTTCATTTATCTTCGACAGGAGCGGATCCTGCATCCGTCTCATCCATAAAAAACCAGCATATGCTTGCTCATATTTTCGTTTTTATTCACCTTAGGTTATGCGACATTCGTACATCGATTCATACGTACTTTCCAAGCAAAGTGGAAAAGGAAATGCTGAGATGAGAAAATTAACTGAGGCTTACAGGCAACATTCGTCTTTTCGGCCATTCAAGTTTTCTGTCTGCTTCACTTGAAAGGATCGGACGTTGATAACTCGACCTTTGTCTTCAGAGCCGTATCGTACCTGCTTTGGCAATGTCTTTCGATAGATCTCTACAAAAAAGGGAACAAGTGGAGTAGTTCACTAAACTGTCGATAGAACTGCTCGTATTGGATTAAGTCAAAATTCCCGACTTTTGCTCACAACTAAAGTTCATTTCAAATAAATGGAGAACTGGAATATAGTGTTGCTTAATAATGAAAGTTTGTCAAGCAAGTACATAGTTTGAAGGTGCATACCATACCCTTTGGGATGGCACAAATCCATCTTTTAACTGAAATTACGCGGTTGCTTGCTTATACCTGAATGTCTAAAATGGGTAAGGGGGATGGGGTAGTATGGATCACGGGACACGATGGACTACGCCCTGCAGCACACTGATCATTATCATATTTGCATCTTCTTAGATATTTCCAAAAGTCTGCGCGGTGTAACGGAAAATCCCCAGTTCTTTTAATTATTGACAGTCATTAAATAATTTATTTTCTGGCTATTTCCCAAGAAAAATGACGTACATAACTTGACATCCACCTGATACTGCTCAAGGGCGAGATAGTTTTGCGAACCTCATGAATGGTATCAGAAAGCTACAGAAATCTCTTGCATGATAAGAAATGCGTGACAAAGAGTTATCATTCACTAACGGAGCTAGTTATTTTTGGAGAATGTGTAAATGCACCGGGACGATAAGCAAAACCAGAAGAAGCTAAACACATTCAATGAAATAAAGCCGTTGGAACGGCCATATTTCAGTGAATCGACGTTTTTCGCAAAATTTATATTGAATATCTCCGATCAGAAATCAGTACGTTTTAGCCTTCTGGTGAAATGCTGTGAAGTCCCAGAGATGTCGACGATGCCATATAGTATGGAAAAGACTCAAATATTGAACAGAAAGGGTTCATCGTGCCCCTCCAGTGGGACACAGGGGAACGGGAGCGGTCGTCTCACAATAGTGATTCTCATCAACCCCTCCTGATGTTGATGAGAATCACTATTATGGAACGCCAAGGGGAAGCATAATTACATCAACTTGTAGGGATCACCGATTGAGACATTTATCAAGAAGCTTCGCATCTTGGCTGGAAGAGCAAAATACATGTTTTCCCTATACAATTTGCTTACAATGCGTTAAATAATCTTGCAGCTCCCTATTTTACTGTGTAATTTTTTTTTCGAAAAGTGCTAAGCGTTTCGCGATGCACGAGGTATAGACCGCACTTCTCACCTGTGAGGAGGTTCAAAAAAGCAGCCCTAACATTTGTATCATCAAAGGCGGACGTTTCGATGAAAAATAGGTTATTCTCCTTGGCGAAGGCCTTGGCTTCTTCTGTGGAGACAGCTCGCAGGTGCCGCAAATCCCTTTTGTTTCCGACCAGCATGATCGCGATGTTTCCACCAACAG